TTTTCTTTGGTGGCAGAGTGGGGAGGAACTGCCTCTTACATGGTTGACAACTTCAGGAGTGCAAAGGACAAGCAATGCCCTTGATGAAATATACACCAGATGAAGTTGCATCCCCAAGCTGCCCAACTATTAGCAGCATGGGAGACCAGCATGGAAGACTGAGTTTCTCTATTGGTCATCAACCCGTCAATGATCTCTCTCCTCTGGCTTCAGATTTTCAATGCATTTTTATTAAATTCATGGTACACAAAAAAAAGTCAAGGACAAACAAACATATTCTAGTGTCTGTGACATATTTTACCACTGTGACAAACCTGCAGCCCTGTTCATGATCAATTACTTTGCTTCACTCTTTTGAAGCGTGTTATTGATAATGTGCAACAACATGTAAAAAGTTTCAAGACACCCTGACATCAATGCATTGAATATTTCTCAAATTTCATTCCATAGGTAATGTTAATAACTACCAGAAAGCAATATCTTAGAAATCATATGTTCTAGATTGGTAGAATAATAACAAACATCCATAAAACAGCAATTGAATATGACACAGAATATAATGGCTCGAGTGCAGTGATCTGTGATGGAGTGACCACAGTACATTCTTTTTACACTGGAAGCATAATGTATTGCGTCTATTTCTATCATTTTGTTACTTCAACAAACAAGAACTATGCTCTAATACATTCTATTCCTGGAGCAGTTATATAGGTCAATAGGTATGCTGACACAATTCTTTATTAAGGGATGTCGTAAAGAAATATTGCAAATAAGATTACATTGGGCTGGAAACAATTGAATCAATAGATCAATGTCTTATAGATTTTATTTATGAGGTTGAAGCAAAGAACAGAACTACAAGGAGATATTTTTTCTCAGGTATCAATTTTTAGAAGATAGATTTGCCGTAGGCTAATTCAAGCTTCGGAAATGTGGAGGCAATTTGACCAAGTCATCTGGGAACAGAACAATGAAGTGGTTGATTTTACAGACAAAATAGAGAAGATACTGATTTTGCAGAAAGACGTGGATCATTAATTTGGACACACTTGATTGGTTGCTTTTAATAAATACATGAACAGACAAACACACATAAAAAAACATTCCAATGTACCATTCCTATTTACAACCATCAAATGAATACTCCAGCCAATAATAATCGCAATCCAAGCATTGGATTTCTCAGTAAGCTTGTTGGACAATTATGAATTGAAACAAAAATGAAATCAGAGCAAAGTTGGAACAACTATGCAATTGCACACAATTAATTTGGTTACATCACCTACCCCAGTTCAACAACTCACTCATCATTCACCTTGTACACCCACACAACATAACAATTAGTTCTGAATATACGAGCAGCACCAGAGGAACACACAAATAGCTTTTATTTTTCCCTTCACTTTTTCCCCACTGTATGTTATATGCAATATATGTTTGCACGAGATTTTTCAAGAGACTTGTTCAAATGTTAGGAACAAGTTGTCTCAGTCACTTATACCCCCCCACCCCACCCACAATTAAAGTATTCATTGATGAATACGAGCCTTGCTATTGAAATTTACTGCTAATGCAAAATCTGGCACCAACACAAATGGCACTTGAGAAAGAGATTGGAAAATCACAGTTTGCAAGGAAAGAGTACTTGCACTGCTCTGCCAAGGGGAAAATCTAACGAGTAGCTTCTTCGGTTCTTTCATTGCTCCCTACAATCTCAGTCTCCTTTTCTTTCTATCTGATTTGGTTTTAAGCAGTACTGCTGAAAAAGTATTTTCATTGCCAGGCCTCCACGGAAACATTGAAAGCATTGAATAGCGTGGGCTTGTTAGTTTTCAGATACCTACATGTGACTGCAGTACAGATCAGATGCTTGTGGTTTCATATATTTTCGTTACCTTTTTCAGGCTGAAGATGGTGAATTTTCAATTGGAATGTTTATATAAAATAAATGTTTAACAAGCCAAATCCTAAATAAGCCAAAGCTCCCTGAAATATTTTTTGCCCTTAAATAATATAAATTGGATGAATTTGAACAAATTCAGAATTTAAATTAAGTTCAGTATTACAAGTTAATCACCATTTAGCAGTCTTTGATGCATGATGCAGTCCAGAAATAATTTGAGAGTACATTTAACATGGAGTATTGTGAGAGTTCTTTCACTTGTGCATAAAATTGCCACAGCACGTTACTCGTACCATAGGGATGTCAAATTTACTGGACAATTTGCATCAATAAAAGAACATTTACAATACACCAATAGTGGTACAGTATTCTGTATGTGTCATATACAACAACAACAACAACAACAAGATTCCATTTATAAAGCGCCTTTCACGTCAGGAGGACGTCCCAAGGCGCTGCACAGTTGGGTCATGACCCGAGCAGGGGGGAAATGGTCAGGGTGAGGGAAGGGAGGGAGCGAGGAGGGGGAAGAGAGTCGAGAGGGGAGCTGAAGGCTCGGTCAAAGAGAAAGGTTTTGAGACCGGCCTTGAAGGAGGAAAGGGAGGAGGCAAGGCGAAGGCACTGGGGGATAGAGTTCCAGAGCCTGGGGGCTGAGAGGCTGAAGGCCCGACCACCGATGGTAGGGCGGTTGGGGCGGGGGACGTGGAGCAGACCGGAGCCAGAGGAACAGAGGGTACGGGCAGGTAAGTAGGGGGATAGTAGGTCGGAGAGGTAGGAGGGAGCAAGGCCGTGAATGGCCTTGTAGGTGAGGATGAGGATCTTGAAATCAATCCTCTGGGGGATGGGGAGCCAGTGGAGGCGAGCGAGGGTGGGAGTGATGTGGTCCGAAGCCTGGTGCGGGACAGTACACGAGCTGCAGAGTTCTGAATGACCTGCAGCTTGTGGAGGGAGGTGGCGGGAAGGCCGGCGAGGAGAGAGTTCCCATAGTCCAGCCTTGAGGTGACAAAGGCGTGGACCAGAGTTTCAGCAGCGTGAGGGGTGAGGTAATGGCGTAGTCTGGCGATGTTCCGGAGGTGATGGAAGGCGGTGCCAGTTGTGGTGCGGATGTGAGGGAGAAAGGACAGCTCAGGGTCGAACAAAACGCCGAGGTTCCTGACTGGCTTTGCGAGGTGGAGAGTGCAGCCTTGGATGCTGATGCTGTCAGCGCCTGAGGTGCGGAGGCGCTGACGTGAGCCAATCAGGAGGGCCTCGGTTTTTCGCACGTTGAGCTGAAGAAAGTTGTCTCTCGTCCAGGACTCAATGTCGGACAGGCAGGCTGTCAGGACATCGGTGGTCGTGGAGTTGAGTTATAACTAATTAGTATTAAACTATTAGTAGTAAACTAACGTATTAGTTATAACTAATAATGTAATTCATATTGAAGTGTATAATTTGCATGCAGGAGTATGCAATCAATCTTTAATTCTGTGATATTTAGTATATAATTATTACACAACAACAACTTGGATTTATATAGCGCCTTCCACGCTGGATGGCGTCTCAGAGGACTTTTCTTATTAAGAAGAATAAGAAATAAGAAAAGAAAAGAAATAGGCTTTCATGCAGTGCTGTGGAGTCCTTAGCTCAGTGGCATTCACCTCGCAAGCGAAAGGACCTGGGTTTGATTCCCGGCCGGGCAAAACATTGGGCAAGTTTTCTTACTCACATGCCTCTTTTTACCTAGCAGTAAGTGGGAACCTGGTTGTTAATCAATTGGCAGATCACTTTTCTTATTAAGATTGAAGTTTGACAATAATGAAAATTACGCCCACAGAATTGTCAAACAATGAAATATGTTCAGGAAGCTATTAATATGGCTTGGTTTAGTAAATAAGTCATTAAAACGTTAGACTTACAGCATATGCCCAACTTGTTTGAATTATATAGGGATGCTTACTGATGGCTGAATATTTCTTGAACCACAAAATTCTATCACATGTCTTGTTTATGTCAGGACATTTTGGAAAAAAGAATATGCAGCTAATGGTCAGCACATTTGTTAAATATTTAAAACAATTACTTCCTGATAGAAAATAAAAATTCTTGTGTTTGATAGATGAGAAACAAGGTCATTTGCACTGCTGCCCACAGTGTTGCTTCAGCCTTTGGGACAGTTGGAAACAATTGAGAGGAAGATGGGAGGCAAAAGATAGTGGAGAAAAGAAGGGCACAGTGAGCATGGTTGGTAGTCTTAGAGAAAGTAAGCATGAAGAAGAAGGCTGGCAGAAGACAGTTATCAAATTTAGAGCTAGAAGCTATACAGTGATCTAATGTACCGAGGCTACATTTTTGTTTAGTGGATAATTTTTTAAAAAACTGAATGAAATTAAGGCATTCTTATGCACTTATCTCTACATTGACGCTTGCACAACATCAACCACAATAGATAAACTACTGCTTGCCCCTTATATCTGAACTAAAATGTTTTATTAAGATGCTAGTCTTAAACAGATTACTATAATACTAAGACTAAAGGTGGACTGACTTTTTAAAATTAAAATGATTGATGTTAGACTTGAAGATTTGCAGTTTTGTTTTATAGCGGTTATAAATGTCAAAATGTGAAGTTATGCAGTTTAACATTTAACATATTTTCTTTTGTATTAAATAATAATATAAATAATAATATAATATTCCTTGCATTTGATATAGTGCCTCATCACGTCTTGGAGACATCTTAAAACATTTCTCAGAATATGTTGTAAAGTGAATTGACCGTATATTCTGTGGGTGAAATGCTGCAGCCACTTGCACACAGCAATAAACAGTTGTGACCAAATAATTTTTATTTATTTTGAAGGAATTACTGCCCACGGAAAAGCAATCCGCCAATTGACTAACAACCAGGTTCCTACTTACTGCTAGGTAAACAGAGGCGTGTGGAGCAAGGAAGCTTGCCCAATGTTTTACTCTGCTGGGAATCAAACCTAGGTCCTTTCGCTTGCGAGGTGAATGCCACTGAGCTATAGGACTCCATAGGACTACATGAAAGCCTATTTCTTTTCTTTTTTCACAAAACATCATTATAAATCTTTTGCATTGTTTTCCTTTTTCACAGATCACAGTCAGTGAACTTTAACCTATCTACGCTTTTCTGCGAAGATGTTGACCTGGATACTTCTAAGTGCATTGCTGGTTACAGCCAACTCCCAGCACCTGGATACTCCAAAGACTTCAGACAAAGAAGTATGTGAGAATCTATGCTCCTGTGAAGAAAGAGATGGTTTGCTTCACATAAACTGTCAAGAGAAGGAAATTACTGAAATCTCTCAAATAAAACCTCCAAGACTGCGTACTTACAATCTTAACCTGCAAAAAAATTTTGTGAGCATATTATATCATAATGACTTCATTAACTTCAATAAAGCAATGTCACTACATTTGGGCAAGAATAACCTGCAAGACTTGGAAGCCGGGATTTTCACTGGCCTCAGCTCTCTGAGACGGCTGCATATAAATGGAAATTATTTGGAAGTGCTTAGAGAGGGTACATTTCGAGGACTAGATAATTTGGAATTCCTCCAAGCAAACAATAACTTAATCCACATTATTGAGCCTGGGGCATTTAGCAAGCTCCATAGGCTCAAAGTACTCATTCTTAATGACAATGCAATCCCATTGCTTCCCACAAACATCTTCCGTTTTGTACCGTTGACCCATCTGGACCTTCGAGGAAATCACTTGGAATCCCTTCCATACGTTGGTCTGTTGGAGCACATTGGAAGAATAATGGAACTTCAGCTAGAGGATAACCCTTGGAGATGTGACTGTGATTTATTGGCATTGAGATCCTGGTTGGAAAACATGCCTCCCCAGTCAGATATTGGAAATGTTATATGTCTGCACCCATTTAAACTGAAAGGCAAAATTTTAACCAAAATACCAATGAATTATGTTTGCCCCACTGGGTCTGGCACTATTTTCGAAGATAGCCAGGAATCAAAGCACTTGGTGGTAACCCCAGGTAATGATGAGGGACGTATTGAAATCTCTAATTCTAATAAATCAGTTAAAGAACCTGAACATGATGATGAATTCATACTGCTACCTGATGGACAGGATGATGGCAAAATTACTGCATCACCTATACCACGTCCAGAATCTCCCTGCCAAACAACTTGCCACTGCATTAACCATGCAAACGCAGGACTTCTGATGAATTGTCAGGAAAAAAACATTAAAAGTTTGTCAGATCTTGTGCCCAGTCCACCAAATCCATTAAAGCTTTATTTGACTGGTAACTTTATCCAATCTGTGTTGAGATCTGAACTTCTAGATTATGGCAGCTTGGAGCTGCTACATTTGGGGAACAATCGAATATCACAAATTGAAGAGAACGCATTTATGAACCTCACCAATCTCCACAAAATGTATTTGAATGGGAACAGCATTGTACAATTGTCAAAAGAAATGTTCTTTGGGCTCCACCGTCTTGAGTACTTATATCTTGAGTACAATATAATCAAGGAAATATTATCAGGAACATTCAGTGTGATGCCACAGCTCAAGGTCTTGTATTTGAATAATAACTTGCTGCATAATCTGCCTCCACAGATATTTTTTGGAGTCCCCCTCCTAAGGTTAAATATTAAAAACAATCATTTCATGCATCTCCCTGTGAGTAATGTTGTGGATCAACTCGAGTTCTTGGTACAGATTGATTTGGAAGACAATCCATGGGATTGCACTTGTGACTTGGTGAGTTTAAGGCAATGGGTGGAGAAGCTTAATAAAAACATAACTGTAAGTGAGATTATGTGCGAATCCCCAGAAAAGTTTGCCAAGAAAGATCTGAAAATGTTAAAAAATGAACTTCTGTGTCCTGGCTTGCTAAACATCCCCATCCACCCAACTCCATTTAGTCACATGAGTTTGACTACCACGCCCACCAGCACAGCCTCCAGCCTGCTGAGTTCCATCACAGACACAGTTCCCTTTCAGTTTTGATCCTCAGTATGTTAGTTGTGTTTATATTGATTGTGTTCAGTGCAGCTGGACTGGTGGTCCTGGTGCTCCATCGTCGGAGGAGATCCAAGAAAAAACAAAAAAATGCTCAAGTCCAGGACTGCAGTCCATTGCATGTTCAATACAGCATGTATGGGCACAAGATGACTCACCATACTGAAGAAAGACCAGACATGAATATATATGAGCAGCACAGGATTAGCCCATTGGGTCCGGTGTGTAGGAGCCGGCCTTACAACATTAGAAATGTGGAACTGGACATCGAAAGCAAAGATGACCCAAAAATGACCCGTAGAAGTATCATGGAGAGAGAAAGTGACTCAATGCTCAGGGGTTCCAACATCAAATTCAGTGTAATAGAGCAGAATCCAGATTTTTNACCCCTCGCTGACCCCAGTTCCTTGTACAAAAATATTCTCGAACGAGAAAGAGAACTTCAACATATTGGAATTACTGAATATCTGAGGAAAAATATTCCACAACTGCAGCCAGATGTTGATGTTCGTTATCCATCAAGACACGAAGAGCTGAAACTAATGGAAGCCATCATGTATTCAAGACCCAAAAAGGTTATGGTTGAAGAGATGAAAAACGAATACTTTGAGCTGAAAGCAAATCTACACACTGAACCGGATTATCTGGAGGTACTGGAACAACAGTCAGCATTGAACTAACCATGAGTTGTTCAAGGACACAATATTTTTATCTTGCCCATCATATATTGTGATAAATTAGCTCACTTGCTGTACTAAGACTTAGTGCCTTTACAAGTGATTCCCTTTTCCACAGAACTGCATTTAAATAGAGCAGTAATCCTTATTAAACTCAGGGAACAATAGAAAAAAATGAACTGCCATTGAGAAAGCCGATACAGGTACAGTAATTCACAACAGAATTTGTTTCAACGCACAAGCTAAAACTGTGCAACAGTCCAAGCTTTGAAAGGCAATAGTTGGATCATTTTTAACTTGTAAAGACGATGTAATTAATGTAGGGTAAATATGTTGAAATATGAATCAATGGTGGTTGAATGGAATACCAGAAGGTGTGATCACTGCTTGTGTGCACGGTTTACTCAAAGGCCTTATCTTAATTTTAATTATCATGGTTTCACTCACGGTCTCATGATACGATTTCCCCTATCTGATATAGGAGAGTATTATATGACTTTTGACAATCCAATCTTCTGATGCTGCTGTACTTTTATTTTAAATTATAAACTATGGAGTCTGTACTCACAGATCTGCGAATTTCAAACAACTACTGTAAAAAGCGGACATAGACTTGACCGCGCACTGTATATTTATACTGTGTCATGTTCTCTTGTACCACTTTGTGATGTTTCTCTTGTATTGGCTGTATTATTAAGCATTCCCCAATTACTAAGTTTGGGAACACTTTCACTGCTATTTTTAATATAAAATAAACAAACTTCTTGTAAATCTTTAAATAACTAATCTAAAAAGTTTCATCACTTGCAGAAAAAAAGCACATAAAACCAAAAAGTTGAAAGGTATGGTTTGTTTAAAATAGAATATGGGGCTCTGCAACTTATTTTTTCAATAAGTAAACAAAAGAAAGTGTACAATTACTGTTAGCTATTTATTCTGTACAGTTTTGCAAATAAAATCGGGGTGCCTTTCTTGTTAAAAAAGAAAATGTGCACTGAACTTTTGGCTGAAATAAAGACAAGGTAAAAGAGCTACAGTCTCTCTATTCACAATTTCTTTCCCACTTTGCATCTTTACACTCAATGAGGAGACAGAATGTTTGCTCAATGCAATCGTTCTCTCTATTGTGTTTCAAGACATTTCGGAGAGAAATGAATCAAGAGAAGAAAATCGTAATCTTCAGATTAAAATTGAATTAAATATGTAGAGATATTTGAACACCCTTCAACTACCAATCTCTGATATTTGTGTGATTCTGTAAATCACCTCTGAACAGAGTGGACAAAACCCAAGCAAACCATGTGCTTCAGTTTCCTTACTCGAATGCTGATTTTCTGGGTTCTGTAGCAGATCTCCCCGTCCCTACCCATTATGAAGAATTTATATAGGGACAGACAATGAAAACATAAGGCAGTAGATTGTGTTCATTGAGAATGTTCCTTCCAATGACTTCTCAGTATAATAGTAAAAAAAACTGTGTTTAATGCTGCAAAACTGACTTGCTAAACCTGAAGTGTTAAATATTCAAATGCACGTTAAGCACTTGACCTTTCAGTTTTCCAAGACATAATAATAATAATAATAATCCTTGCATTTGATATAGTGCTTTTCACGTCAGGAGGACGTCCCAAAGCGCTTCACAGAACACACTGTAAAGTGAATTGACTGTATATTTGTGAGCGAACGCCGCAGCCAATTGCGCACAGCAATGTCCCACAAACAGTCGTAGATTGAAAATGACCAATTTAATTATTGTTTTTGGTTTTTTGGAGGGATTTCGCCCTCTGCCTGGAATTGAACTCAGGTCTCTCACTTGCAAAGCGAGTGCTCTAACCACTGAGCTACAGGACTCCACATAGATAAAGTTGGAATCATTGGAAGAGAGAGAGGGATGTGTGAAATATATTTTATATATTCCATTATTGGGGGAAGATGTTAAGAGTACTGTTCCTTCTTAAAACTGCTTGAGACATTGATGATCTTAATGCCTTTTGGCATCAGATTGGGCAATTATGTTTAAAGTATTTTTTAAATGTTATTTGGGTTAAATTTGCAATATTTGCAAATGGAGTTTGTTGAAAAAACTGACCTTTCTTGCTAGCTATTCACTATTTCTTATTCATGAGTTTAGCTACGCATTTCACAGTCACCCACTGGAAGTTGCAATTAGCAGAACAAATATGGTGTGCTAATATTACAAATTAAACCACATTACCACAATATACTGATTTCCTTCTTCATGCTTAATTTTTCAAGTGTCACATCCCCTTCACGTTTTATTATGCAGAACTCTCAAGGATCCACAGTGTCCTGAGATTCTCAAGGTCTGAGATTCCACCAGATCTTAACTTTGAGATCATTGGCTTAAATTTAAAATTGTACCAGTATTTTGGAAAAATCTTAAACTCAGCCATATTTTTCTTTTTTTTAAAGAATATTGGAATCAAATCAACTCTCTGTGTCGGGCTCGGCAATCTGGCTCCTGAACCAGGCACGTATGCAGTTCTCCAGGGCACTGCTGATGACAGACCAGCCAGCCTGGCTCATCGGCAGGACTTAGAGGGACAGACTGGAGTTCTTCCTACTCAGCTCCTCTTAACTGCAAGCAAAGGCTATAATGATTAGGATGGTCCTCAATGAGCAGCAGAAAGCTCGCCACACAGTGCTGTCAATTGCAAAGTGATGTGGCTTTATATGATTAAACTCACAGAACTCCAGCACACTCTCTGTGATCCTTGACTCTCATTTACGTGGACCTGAAGCTTGCCGCAATTAAATAAGCAGGGTATATCCCTCCAAGGAAACAATGTGTATTCCATTCCAGAAACAGGGAAATATCCTTGTGCAGTTGGCATACATGTGGAACTCTCAATCTGGTTTCGGTACTTTTAAGCATGATGATAGATTTCCATGTATCAGGCTCTGAACTGGCCTAAAAAGAAATTGATCTTATGGCTAAGGCTTGGTAGCATTTAGGGTCTCCCATAAATTTCTTCAGGACAGCTTTGTATCAAATAGAACTTAAATTTGTAAAGATGAGCCAATTTACACTAGGGGACAAAGCCTGTAGCATTCCCAAGCATGTTGTATTCCCTAATTAACACCAATGTAAAGTTTAAGAACAATATGAATTTTGTGGTGAATATTTGCACCAGCTTAATGTTGTTCTAATTCAAATACATTGAAAGGCCCCTGTATCTGAACCTTGATTATAAACAAGAATAAATAAAGTAGTTTTTATTCAAAAATTAAAACCCTGAGTATTTCTGGTAACTTTTTCCCCACATCACACCCACCAGCTTTTGAAAAAGGCTGTACCGAATAGCAGATAACGTGTGGTATCAGTGGCAGGGTTCACTCAGGTGTTGGGAGGGTAGACATTTTTAACACAATTTTTGAAAGCTTGTTGGGAGGGTAGACATTTTTAACACAATTTTTAAAACTTGTTGGGAGGGTAGACATTTTTAACACAATTTTTAAAAACAAGTACTGTATAGCAGTCAGACAACCAACCATAGCAGTCAGACAACCAACATATAATTGGAATGGAGATAAAGTGAATAGATTACTCGAATGTCTGGCAACAAAACATATCCACTAGTCAGCATTGAATTTTGAACAGCTTATATGTTTACAGACCAATTGGCAACTAGCCCTTTGCAAAATCAAAGAAAAAAAACAAGATTAAAAAGTGATAGGTTCCAACTGGTCTGTAAGACCTATTGTGTTGAGATAAAGTCACATAGCAGATGTACACTACAAGAATCTACTTACCTGACATTAATGGAGTTCACATGTGTATGCTCTGGGTCCTGTAGCCAAGCTTTCCCACAAAGGATTTCTGTGAAAAAAGAACACTGAAAAGGGAAAGATTACGAAAGAACATTGAAAATGTAAGGGCAGAAATACTTTACATTGAATTCACTGGTTCATAAAACAAAGAGAAGATAGATTGCATCTGTGGGGGAAAGAGGAGAAGAATGTGATTTGAATTATCACTAGTGATATAATATGTTATTAAAAAATGTCCTTAGTTCCAGTGACTTTAGGGGAATGGTTTCACTGACATGCTTTGAAGAATCAATAGACACATTTTTATAATAATACTAATCCTTGCATTTAATAGAACACCATATCAACCCATCAAGATGTCTCAAAGTGTTTCAAGGATATACTGTAAACTGGATTAAATTGGCAACCATAACCTGGGTGTCAGCTTCGATCTCTAGCTGTCCTTCCTACTCCACATCCAGTACCTAACCACCTCCGTCACATTGCCCGCCTCTGAATGTACTTTACAATCAATGTAGCCAAGATCCTTGGCCATGCTTTTGCCACCTCCCACATTGATTATTCCAATGCCCTCCTCGCTAGTCTCCCCAGCTCCATTGTCCACAAATCCACTTTATTCAGAACTTCACTGCTCTAAACTCCACTCCCCCGTCACACCAATCCTCACCAGACTCCACCAGTTCCCCATCACACAACTGATCAATATCAAGATCCTCACACTCATCTACAAATCCTTTCACTCCCTGGCACCTCCCAAACTCTCCGGCATGCTTACTCCCCACTTTACCACCATCCGCCTCCACTTGGCTGGCTCTGGCCTCCTGCTTATCCCTCAACCCCTCCACTCCACCATTGTCAGCCTTGCTTTCAGTCCTGAAACTTTGGAACTCTCTCGCTCAATCATTCCCCCTTGCCCTCCTCCTTCCCCTTTTTCAGATCACACTTGAAGACCTTCCTCTTCAACCGTGCTTATGGTCACCTCCTTCCACCCCCCTTTGGCTAAGCATCAGACTCTGCCACTGTTAAGTGCTCCGAGTTGCTACCCTGCGTGATGGACGCTATCTAAATGCAAGTTGTTGTTATTTTGACATGGTCAGTACTGAGCCATTTCAATTCCATAACACTACTTAATCATTATCCTTGGGGCTGGGAATAATGCAAGCCACACTCTTCATTTGATAAAATGAAACCATGTCTCCAATAATCTTTCTGAGGCTTTGCGCAAAACTATGCTGAAGTTTGAGGTTGGAGGTTGCTCCCACATCTGCAACACATATGAAAAATGTTTTAAGCGTATCCTAACAAAGATATTTATAGCACTTAAATACGTATACAAATGAAGGGAAATGCTATGGAACAGGTCACATACTTGTGGATTTGTCGTTCCCCTCACTGCTTCCTCAGTTACTGAACCTCTGATGATTTTCTGGTTCGGTAGCACCCGAAAGGAAAAACATCTGTCATTAAATGATTTTAACAAATGTTGAATGTAGAGATAAGATTCTTACAATGTAATTATTTATCACCATGGTTAAAAATTCTGTATGGTAGTTTTCTTATCAAATTTTATGTAGTTATCCACCAGAACTGAGGCTGAATGGAAATTTAAATAAATATTCTGTGTAATTTAATGATTTAGCTGGTTAAGATGCCTCAATGGTGTTGCAAGACTTTTAAATTGACACTTTTTAAAAAATCCTACTTGGATTGGGACTTTGCTTACAGCAACCTTTGACACTAGCACTTTGGGCCATCCTCCTGATGTAAAGGTGCACTATCAATATGATTTTTTTGCAAATTAGTTTTGTTCAGCGGGGATTCTGATAGATTCAGAAAGCTATACGTTTAAGTGGTGACATCAATATCTGTGCACATGACTAATGGAGTCTATATCAAGATGCTCACTGATGTCTGCGCTCGTAAGAACACAAGGCATTGGTGTGGTTTCTGAGGCCTCTCATTATAATTGACTGTAACCATCCTACAAGAAGCCAAATCAATTTACAACATAGAGTTTGATGCCATAACTAAAATGGAGTGTCCCCAAGAGGCCCTTCAGCTCTGTCTATAACTTATGTTATTGAGGTCTACAGTACAAATGTCATCCGTGTTACTGTATGTTCAATTAATAGTTAAAATTCATTAATTGCCAACATTCAACCATTGGGGAAGCATCTTCAATAACCTTGATTACCTGATCAACATGTTACCATGGTCACGACACAAAGTCA